TTCCAACCAAAGCGATTCTATGATTCTCCAAGCACTGCTCCTGTCTGAGCCGTTTCAGAGGTCTCGTTTTGCTCTGGAGGGGGTGGGCACGAGTCTTCTGTCAGCATCTGCCCAGTTCTGCCCATCGCCTGCGGGCAGGTGGTGGAGAGGAGCCGCTGGTGGAGGTGGAGAGGGGCAGCAGCTCACAGGGCAGTGGGAGCAGCTGCAGGGGGTTGAAGCATGAGGGGACCCCAAATCCCCTCCTGAGGTAGCTTGGCCCAAAGCAGTGGCTCAGAGGTATGGTGAGGCCTCCTCACCCGAGGGGCTGTTCCAGCCTCTTTGTCCTTCCTATGCACCTGGATTTTCTTTCCCATTGTTTCCCATCTCTGGTGTGACCATCTCCGTGGTGGCTGTGCTGTGTAGAGCCCAGCACTGAGCCTGTGCAGCTGCAGGGCTCTGCTGGTTTGTCCAGATGGATCTTTCTGAAGCTACCAGAGAAGATTTTGGTGCTTTTTCTGCATCTGGAACTTGCACAAGCACAGCTGTGGAGAGGCTTTTTTGGTTTACATGGGTAAATGAGATTGTTTTCTAGGTTTTAAAGCATGGTACGAGCCAGGTGTGTTCTCTCTGGACACCCTGTTTTCCAGAGCATGTCCTGGTGGGACTGGCAGGGGGGGGGGGAGGGAGGTGGCCACCCTCACGCAGGGTATTTGGGGCAGGGGGCCAGCCAGTCGGTGCCCAGACCTGTGTTCAGGAGTAGGAGCTTGGTTGATCTCCCCCATCTGCTCAGGATCTCACGTCCACAGAACCACGGAATGGAGGGAGACGGATGGGACCTCTGGAGATCTTCATGCAGCCCCCTGCTCCAGCAGGTCACCCAGAGCAGGGTGTCCAGGCAGGGTTGGAATCTCTCCCGGTTTGGAATCTCTCCAGAGAAGGAGCCTGAAGTCCAGCTGACCCTCTGGCCTCGTGCTGACAGAAGACTTTTTACCCCCCCTTTAAATTTTAAGACAGGAGCACAAATCTATTCACTGAACGCCTGGATAACGTAAAGCCTGTAGAGTGGTGGAGTTCAGGCAAGAAGGAGAAGAACAGGAAAAAACCCAAACACCTCATTCTTCAGAGCACACAGGAGTGCAGAACTGTTGGTTCTACAGCCCAGATGCCATCCCTCTTGTTGCAGGGCAGACAGGCAAGCTGATGTACGTGATGCACAACTCGGAGTACCCCCTCAGCTGCTTCGCCCTCTTCGAGAACGGCCCCTGCCTCGTGGCAGATGCCAACTTCGACACCCTCATGGTGAAGCTGAAAGGCTTCTTCCAAAATGCCAAGGGCAACAAGATAGAGAGCCGGGGCACGCGCTACCAGTACTGTGACTTCTTGGTGAAGGTGGGCACGGTCACAATGGGGCCCAGTGCCCGCGGGATATCTGTGGAGGTAAGAGTTGGTTGCTGGTAGCTTGTTCCTGGATGTGTTCTCCTTTGCAGCATGCAGAGGTGGTTCTCCTGTGTCCAGGTTTGATCCAGGCTGGTGCTTTGGGGCT